CTACACACACACACACACACACACACACACACACCAGGAAGTTCAGCAGGAGGAGCTCTGGGCCCCGCTGCTACAGATGCTCCTGGGTCCATAATTGATGTTCATAATCCCCCTCCTCTACCACCTGTTCTGGAGTGAACTGTGTCCCCACAAGTTCATATGTTCAAGGCCCAGCCCTTGGTCCATCAGAATGTGACTGTTTTGGAGACAGAGTCTTTAAAAGGTAATGAAGTTGAAGTAAGGCCACTGGGGTGGGGCCCTGACTCGGTCTGATTGGTGTCCTCATAGGAAGAAGAAGAGACACCACCGGAGAGTGTGCACAAAGGGACGGCCGTGTAAAGAGGCAGCCAGACGGTGGCCATCTGCAAGCCAAGGAGAGAGGCCTCAGAGGAAACCAGTCCTGCTGGCACCTTGATCTTGGACTTTCAGGCTCCAGAACTTCTGGAAAATTCATTTCTATTGTTTAAGCCACGCAGTCTGTGCTCTTTGGCTATGGCAGCCATCGCGAATGCACACACACGTGTTCTAGAGTCCCTTCCCATCTGCCTAGCCTTTTACTTGTCCAGGTTGCTTGAGCGGTGGGGGTGACCCAGACTCTCCTCCCTAAGGGGGTCTTAGCCCCTGGTGGTCAGGCCCTCATCAGACCCTGTTTGCTGACATTGCCAATTTACATTTATTGCCAGGCATAGCAACACACCAAAAGGCACCCCAGTGAAACCCCTGAATTCCAGATACAAGCCTCCCTTTCCTCATGGGAATCACCTGCTCTGGATGAGATAGTTACTCATTTCGTTTCTTTGCTTGCTGGTCTCCTGGGATGAGGACCCCTCAAATGGACAGGCATCAGCCATGGTTTTAGTGGAACTCTTTTAATGTCCCCCTGATAGATGTATTCCGTGCCAGCCACCTACAGGCCAGCAGAGCCTAAAGCTGAAGGATGGGAAGACAGACTCCCCAAGGGGGTCAGAGTCAGCTGCGGTGACGGAGGCCACTCCTACCTCCTGGTTCCCAGACCTGTGTTTTCTACCTATTGGAGTCAAAACAGGCAGTGCCATATTGTGACCATATATGTGCCATACAATACCATACCTCATCTGTAAGGCCAGCACCCCAACCCTAGAAGGTATTTTCAAGCTGCCACACCTTTAGAATGCCATTCTAACATTCTACCAGGACCAACATCACCTTCACTGAGAAGTGAACCATCAAGGTGAAGCTCTTGGAGGCATGCATTCTCAACAGTGGCTTGTTCTCAAGGGGGTGAAAATTGCTTCTTTTTTTGCAGAGGTGGCGGGGAGGTAACTAGATTCATTTTATTTATTTTTAGAGGAGGTGCTGGGGATTGAACCCAGGACCTTGTGCATGCTAGGCATGCGCTCTACCACTATACCCTTCCCCCTTGAAAACTGCTTCTTGATGGATGAAACAAATGTTTCTCTTCTGGTATATAAAGCACAGCTATTCCTACAGCAGGTAAACAGTGATACAGTGTATCTGTGGTATTAAAATTTCACAGGAGGGGCAATTAGGAAAAAAATGTCTAAAAAGGCTCCTTAGGGGAGTGGTAATGAAAAACAATCTGATAAACACTGGTCCAAGGTGATATTATGCTGAATTTCATAATGATACTCAGATACTATTACCCTCAGATGGTGTTATTGGCCAAGGCATGGCTGGCAAAAGAGAAAAATCTCTTCTTGGAGTCAATCCCGGTAGAGATGAGTCTCTCTGCTCCTTCAAGAGTGGAAGCAGTTCAGTGGAATCAACTTGCCACCAAGTGGCTGGTTGGTCTCCCTGGGGGATGGTAGCATGTTCAGGGCCCAGCTTCAGCCGCTGGGGATAACTGGTCAGACCTTGAGCAGTAGTCACTAGATCAGGCCTGGAAAGTGGGGCCTCCGTCCCTGCCACCATGACTCCTCTGTTCACGAGACTACTGCGTGAGCACTGGGCGACCCCGGGCAGAGGCTGGCTGGACACCGCTGGGTGTGCCATCCTGGCCACCTGGTTGTTCTGCATGTCCTCTTTGATGGGCACTCTCTTGTGGGCTCTGATGTAAGACATAAAGGCTTATACATTTTGTTGCCCATCCCTTTGTCTTCAGTCTTCTTTTTTTTTTTTTACATTTTTTATTGATTCATAATCATTTTACAGTGTTGTGTCAAATTCCAGTGTTCAGCACAATTTTTCAGT